TTATGTGATAATATTATTGATTGCGTGAGCGAGAATTGATGAGAGGTTAATTGATCACGAGTGACTATCGCTTGGTTGCATGTTCCCGAACCTATGAGTGTCTTCTTTCCATCTCGGGTCTAGGAGTACCTTGTTATTTTTCTCTTCATTTTCATTTTTCTTGCAATTTGAGGTGTTGCTTTCTAGTTAATGTTGAATCTTGCTTTCGTTTAGTTTGAAGTTGCTATCTTTAGTTCAATCCAAACTCCAAATTGCGAGTAGAGTGTCTAGGATTTTATTTTCTTTTCTTTTGTGAGTCAATCGTTGTTTGAATCCGTGTCCGAATAACCTTCCTTTTAAAACGACCCGAGTCCGGGTAACTCGGTTACCTAACTACCCAAAATACTACAAATAAAATGGCGCCGTTTCCAGGGAAGGCGAGTAAGCCATTGGCTTTAGACAATTGATTGACGTATTTTCCATATTTCTCTTGCCTTTTGTGCTCCTTATTTAATTTTGTGTGTTTCTCTTGCTATTTGGTGTTTGTGTTTTTATTAATATCGTGCCGTGTTTTTCTTGCATTTGCATTGTATTTTTTGTATTTGTCTCTTCTCGTGTGCCCTTGGTTTGTTGTTTTTCTTGTGCGAGGTAATCCACTTGAGGAGCCACGATGGACCCATATGATTATTCCTATGTCGGAAGCTCGTTTAGTGGACATCCCGACAATTACCAAGAGGAGATGTACACAACATATGGAGAGCCGTCTTGTTCATATCCGAGTGTCATATTCTGACTCTTACGATGGATGCTCTACTTTCCATGGGTATGGCCCGAGCCATTCTTACCCGACATATCGAGCCGATTATGGTTGTGACATCCCGAGTCACGACGAGCCGTCTTATTCCAATCCTCCACCTCCGGACTACTACTACCCTCAGCCTCCCGATTATAAAAAGACATCTCCACCCGAGCCGACTCAGGAAGCTTCTCGAGTCAATCTAGACGAGATTATGGAGAATTTAGAGGAGTGGAATCGATGTCTTCGTGCTTCAATGGCTCCCATATCCGAGAAAGAAGAAGTCGAGTCCTACGCTCCATCCTCTCCATCATTTGAGCACCAATCGGTTGACCAACCTTGTACATCGAGTTCCGGAGCTTTATTTCCATCAACGGTTGTGCCTTCCGAACGTCACTATGAGGTTTGACGAGCACTCAAGAGGCACTTGCGAGCCTCAAGTCGATTGTTGAGGAATTTCATAGTTGGAGCATCCTCATTTCATCCGTTCTTCAAATCACACTCATGAAGTTCGACTCTATCGTAGTCTCTTTCTTTGATTTGGACGCATCTCACTTTCCGCTCGGTAGATATTGTTCTCTATCGGCGAGGGTTATTCGAGAGAGCACTCAGTTAGAAGGCGAATTTCGAGCTATGGTGGATAGGTTTGCCTCCTTGAAAGAGTTGGGCCTCACTCTCGTTTATGACGGAACGCAATCTCTCGACACGAGTGAGGATATCGGCGATTTAGTTGTTAAGGAAATATTTTCTCATGACGATTCGGCCGTGCATGCCCGACCTGAGTACCCTACCCATTTACCCACCAGCATTGAATCTTACACACACACACACACACACACATACACACACACACACACACACACACATATATATAT